GTACTTATTTTGCGAGTTTAATTTATGAACGAATTATCAGTCAAAACATGCGCAAAGTGATGAAGTTTCCATTTACTTTCCAAACATGGAGATATCTATATGTCACTATACGTGTTGGCTCAACTGGTACCCGGTTGGCACTTTTATTTGGAATTTAGGTTCTGCAAGTTCATTCACGGGTGATATTCTATATTAGCGAAAATTTCAAACCCCCAAAATCAGACTCCAAAATGCAATGAATCTCGATCAAAATAGCTAACATTAGTTGCAATATTTCTCCGGTCCCTAAACTATATTTTTAAGATGCAAAGTGCAAAAACGAATTTCTAGCCGAGTTATATTAGGAAGTATGTTCACATGTAACACAATATGCATATGAATTTTGTTACCAAAGAGTTTTTTGTGCCTACTGCAATCAAGAAATTCGATCAGTGAACGACGCACTGGTTTATCTGAAATAACGGAGCGAAAAATTGTTTCCACTGACTAAGCGATGTTTCCAATTGTTGCTTACAGTCAGGCCCATAACTAGGTATATGAGTCAATCGAGTTCAAGCTCAATGACAGACTGTAGTTCTCTCCATGTAAAGAAGCATTATTCTTGCCCTACATTGACGTAAGAAATGGGAGGCTGTGTGGGTGCACAAGTACCCCAATAACAAAAGTGCAGGCCAGCGCCCAAATATTACAACAATTGAGCACAAACGCTTTTTTATTATGCACCTGATCAATGATGTTCGACCAAAAATATTTGTAATTCTCATCCTCATGATTGGGGGCAAACTACAGTATAAAATTATAGTCATTGTGTCACTGTAATATGAAATTGATTTTTCCTTTGAACTGCTCCCAGAATGCAGGAAATAGCGTTTCTAAGCCTTAGAAAATCAAAAATTTTCTGGGGGAGCATGCCCCCAGACCCCCCAAGAAGTGTCTCGGTCAATCAAAAATCCTATTGTTACGCGCCTGACAGTTCCGCATCAGCCGAGCGCAGCTTTTCAAAGCTGAAATCAGTGAAAACTGTTATGTGTTCAGTAATGAACCAGAAACGCCTTGGTGAACTCTTGACTCTTGCGTGTGAGCATGATCTAACAGACACGATCGATCTTCAGACGAAATCGCTAATCCGTGGTCAAACCTTACTAAGTGCGGACACTTAATAAAAATATGATGTTTCACAGCAAACTGTACGTGTTCTTGCAAAATTCCTAATAAATGCCATCAATTTCCATGCTTTGTACTCAATTTTATTGCAACATACCAACTCACCAAGAGTCGGTCTGGATTCACATTTCAGTGGTGGGTCGGTCTCATTTCGTGACTACACCCTCCCAATCAAAATCGATATGTCCGCCCCTGCTTATATATATATATAAGTTTCATACATGAAAATATATGAAAACAGACAATCAACGCTTGATTGAAAGTCGGCGATTTTCTCCAGTTAATCCGATTTCCACCTCCACGCGGGAAATATTGAAACAGTGGGCTGAAACAGGCCACAACCGGCAGCCCAACCCTTCAACCACATCAGCTATATATGATCAAGGAGCAAAACTAAGATCATGGCTGTCAGAAGCGCCCTTATACCTTACAGAAAACCTTCAACTCGATCAGGTTGAGCTTCGTACTTAGTAATTCAGATTAACTCTCGAGCCAAGGCGCAAGTTGGAATGATTGGGTAAGTTGGGTTGATTAGCACCCC